GGGGACGTTAAATCCGATGTCTCATGTAAAAGAGTGCCTGCAGGTTTTGTTTAAAGAACCCTTGCAACAACTCTTTGAGGGAGTCCGTAGGTGGCCTGTTGTAAGGCAAAACTTCCGTCCTTTTCTGATGTACCCTCAGCAGTTTCTAGTGGCAGTCCAAATTTCCCATACCTTCATCCCAGACAGTCTCTACTATAGAACTTACATATTGTATTTAATGTTAATTTGTTCTCGTCCTGAACATGCATGAAATATTTGCTACTGGACGTCAAGCAACCATCAGTCAATCATTGGCAGTCATACCACATCTGATTTTTAAATTAAAAAGGAGGCGGAAGATACCAAAGGATATTCAAACAAATAAGGCGTTGAAAAACATTGACAAACTGTCAACGCCAAGGCAAAAACGACCAAAAGACAAACAGTATGTTGATGTTTGTTTTTGTAGCAGTTCAGTGTTTCTGTTGTTCCATTTTGTTTCCTCGTATAATTGATGTGTTTCCCTCAGTTTTGGTTTGTGACCCGGATTTGTTTCAGTTAAATCGATTTATGACTATTGAACAGAGGTATACTACTATTGCCTCTATTTACAGAACACAATATAGAATACTAAAGACCGAGATACACGAATCCCATCAAAAAAGGGGAGAACTCATGTGCTTTGGAAAAACAAACAATATCTCCGTACTCTTAACTACAAAATTATTATATTTAAATTTACCTGTGTACGTTACTTTATTTAACGCCATTTTGTCCAAGGTTATAGTTGTCTTTTTGACATTGTTTTACATCCCCCCTTTTGTATTTACTATTGTATTTATATTGTGGCATAGATCAAATTTATTCGTTCAGTGTATGTTTACTTGTTTTTGTTAATATGTCTTTTTGATTGAGTTAAGCCATTTCAATTGATATTTTATAGTGTGCTTTTCTATGTTGTAATGATACACTACTATTTCAGGTTAGGATGAAGGATGGCGCCTGTTAAAACGTTTAAAACCCGCTGCATTTGTTTGCACCTTTCAGGCCTGTCGTTTGTTGATGTGGTCTTAAGTGTTTCTCGTTTTTCGTTTTTTTATATAGATAAGACCGTTGGTTTTCCTGTTTGAATTGTTTTAAACTAGTCATTTTGAGGCCCTTTATAGCTTGCTGTTCGGTGTGAGACAAGGCTCCGTGTTGAAGGCCGTACTTTGACCTATACTTGTTAACTTTTTCCACATTGTGATTTGGATGGAGAGTTGTCTCATTGGCACTCATACCACATCTTATTTCTATATAACCTGCTCCACATGTGGCACCCGTCGTGTTGTTAATGCAAGTACAAACTTCGTGACATGTCTTATTCGGTGACATTCTACATTTACATGTATTGATTTTAATGTCAAATAATTCGGTAAAAGATGTCCAAAACGAATTTATTATATATGTTTTGAAATTCATTATGTGGGATAAGAATTTCCATTGATGAGCATCAATTTACATAACTGTAAAACACCTAAAATATCTACAAGTCTATATATGTCACATTTAGCAAGACGAATTTTTGATTCTGTCGAAGAAACAGCAACCGAACTGACACAAACAATTAGAGATCAGCAAAACGGTCTTTTAATATTTTGGCTGACGTAAATGTATGAAAACAACAACAGGTGACTGGGATACAGAAATATGGTCATCATTGGTCTCTTCAACCCGACAATCAAACCCCTGTCATAGTGGGCGTCCGTTTGCAGCCACGTCCAGTCAGAATGGGGACGTTCAGTACGATGCCGCTAGCAGAGGGAGTGCCACGGTCTCTGCACTTTGGAAACCCTTGCAACAACTCTCTAAGACATCTGTAGGTAAGCTGTTGCATTGCTAAATTTCTGTCCCAATCCAATATACCCCCACTTTCCAGTGACAGTGACAGTCCGAATTTCTAGCCATTCATCCAGGTCGACCACTTTGACAAATCCTATACTTATTGTATTTTTAGTTAATTTCTCTCGTCCTGAAACATGCATGAAATATTTGCTATTGGAAGTAAAGCCAACAACAATCAATCAACCATGTTTGACAATACAATACAAAAGAGATTATATAAATGCAAAATTATACGTCACAAGACAACTCGGAGAACATTCAAACATAAGCACATACTTAATTGTAAACTAGTTTCCCAAAGCTGCTTACCTACTTTCTATTAAAGCTTTTTATTTGTATTAAATCGTACAAATTTAATGCCCCACTTTTTTCTCACCTTTCTCCATATACTGTTAGTTCCTTTTTATTATGTTCTATCTCCTACCTAAATCTATTCTTATCTACTTTTTTGCGTTTTCTCTAACTTTGTATTGGATTTATCAAGTTTATTCATAAACTCCACCAACTCTGGGTCATCGTCTTCAGCCAAAATTGCGGTTCATCATATTTGTCCGGAAACAAGACGTGACTTGTAAACTCATTTTGGAGAATGCTGTAGATACTTTTCAATTGGTAAAGCCTCTGATGGCTTTTTTTTCGAAGCGATGGCAACAGTTTTTGTAATTGCAACTGTAGTTTCAGCAGTCATTGATTTGAGAGCCTATACTTATTTCTGGCACACAATATCTTCTTCGTCGACATACAACAACAAAATATTATCTCAAGCTATTATCTCATAGATCGAAAACAAAATATCAACGAGGCAACAATGTTTAGCATTAAATCGCTTTAAATCGTTCCAAACTCATGTGTTTGTCTGCGTTGAGTTTTTTCTTTTTATGAAATAACAATTTATTTATGTAATTAAAAACTTTTTGTAAGTGTGGTCTGTGTGAAATATTGATTTTTCGATAAGGGTGTGACTGTTGTCATTCTTTTGGAATTCTTTTTTAATTTTTTTGACAAACTGTCGTATTTTGCATTTATATCAGATATCTAATTACTTGGTTTATTACATGTGTTTTATCTCTTATGCCTGATGTTATAATTCCATACTCTTACGTGATGAAAAAACCACAACTACCGGACTACTGTTTCTTTACTCGGGACAGACACTTAAACATTGTGGCGGGGTTAAACATGTTTAAAGATGCTCAAACATGTCCCTAACATATGCAAGTGATGTAACAGCACAACATGAGAACATTAGAACACACTGTAAAAACAGTTGGAAAGGGCCCGACTCATTAGATCGGTACTAATAACAAAAACAACTAACAAATAGACATCAGACAGATAGTACGGATCCAAGAGTAGTCGTTGTTATACGCCTGGTATCTTTGGTGAGTTTTTTAGTATTGAAAGCTAGTACGTTAAAAGCCCAATGTTAACTAACAAGAGGCTCTCAAGAGCCTGAATCGCTCACCTGTATTTCAGAGGAGAAGATTTTTAAATGTTAGCAAACTTGATGAACAAATTGTGTAAAATTGTCTTTAAAGGGCAATAACTCCTTAAGGGGTCAATTGACAATTTTGGTCATATTAACTTTTTTGTAGATCTTACTTTGCTGAACATTATTGCTGCTTACAGTTTATATATATCTATAATAATATTCAAAATAATAACAAAAAACTGCAAAATTTTGTTAAAACTACCAATTCGGTGGCAGCAACCCAACAATTGGTTGTTCGATTCATCTGAAAATTTCAGAGCTGATAGATCTTGACCAACTGAACAATTTTACCCCACGTCAGATTTGCTCTAAATGCTTTAGTTTTTGAGATATAAGCCAAAAACTGCATTTTACCCCTATGTTCTATTTTTAGTCATGGCGGCCATGTTTGTCGATGGATCACAACTTCGGATACAATTTATAAACTAGATACCCTAAGGAACATTTAGTTAAAGTTTGAAGGTATTTGGCCCAGTAGTTTCAGAGGAGAAGATTTTTGAAATAGTTTACGACGACAGACGACGACAGACAACAGACGACGACGACGACAGACGACGGACGACGACGGACGCCAAGTGATGGCATAAGCTCACATGGGGCCCTTCATTTCGAATTCAGATAAGTTATTTTAAAGTTATGATAAGACTATCTTAGTCTGACATTCACTAATTTTTCATATACCTTGTGATAACTCCTGAATGCTTTAACGAATCCGTATGATTTTTCTACAAAGTGTTTTGGTCAGAAATAGTAATAATATCTACATATAATGTTTGGACGTGTTATCATGCGCTTCTGTTTACTCCTTTTTGGCAATAATTACTTTTCAAAAAAAGTAACAGTCGTTCCATCAATAATATGCAGTTCGTTGATTTGGAAAAGCAGTTTCAACAAACAAATCAAATATAATTTTCGATGGTTCAGATGTTTGAAAAAAAATTCCAACAAATCTAATCAAAATTATCGCGCCAATACGGTATGGATTATACTTGAATGTGTGATTATCTATTTCAATCTTCTTTGGAGACGTTAAAATGTAATAAAACTTTTCTCCTTAACTTGATTTGCGGCATATAACCAGCTTCTGCTTTTGTGCTAGCACAAAGTCGATTAAATTATGTGAAAATTAGTATTCGCTATTGTTTAGTAATTATACCACTGAGAATATTTGTGTAAACATGTAGCTCTCGATTTTAATTTTCTTTGCTTTTAGAAAGCGCTGGAAACATTTTTGGTATTTTCAGTTCATAAATTTTGTAATTGAACTATAAACACCTGTTATACAAGTGGGAGGTTTAGCTAGCTATAAACCAGGTTTAACCCGCCATTTTCTTCGGAAAATGCCTGTACCAATTCGGCAATATGGCAATTGTTTTTCACTTGTTTCGTTGATTGATAGCGTTTGATTTTGTCAGTTTTTATGGACTTCCCCTTTTGGAATTTGCCTTGGAGCTCGATATTTTTATTATAGTTTTGTTATCGTAAATACGAATCTTTCATAAATACGGTTAGAACTACAATCACACTTTCACGTTCAATTGTGTAAAGAAATATTCGAAGGTCTCTATAAGCCAGTTCAGCTAACACTTAATGGCAATCATTAACAATACGAATCCCGACTATTATGACGACTGAGAAGGATCTTCAATATTTTTATTTTATTTTTGTAATACAAAAATATTTTCAAAACATTAATTACAGCCCAAAATAATTCCCGTTGTTAATCAACTCTGAAAAATTGATTTCCTGTTTTTTCAATGGATTCAGTATTCGATATGTCATATTTAATTAGACCGAAGCATCTTTATAAAATTCGCAATTGTACTGACAGGTCTCACAATGACAATTAAATTAAGCGTTAGGCTAAAAACCTTGATAAATCAGTTTTATAGACACAACAATATCCGAGATGTCCCCAATGTCAACGTTAATTGAATTCAAACATAAAGCACAATTAAAGTTCACCTACATGAGTACAATCTAAATCAGTATTCACGTGAGTTCGAAAGTTTAGTTATGAGTGATGCTGTATTATTCACGTTTTAAAACTTTTTTAGTTCTCGGTTGAAATATATATGCCCGCATATGATAGTAAAAGGGGGGTCATTATGTTTTCCTCTCTATGTATCCGTCTGTTATTCAGTTCGTTCATCCTGTATCGTGTTAAAGGTTTTTTATAAGAGTTTAAGATCGAGTTTTGGTCACATTAACTAGAAATTAGTAAACACTTGAATTAAATGTGATTTTTTTAAGATATGCCAAATTAAAGTTTTGAACCAAATTTCACGATTCATTGAAAACGCAAATAGGATAGTGTGAGCGAGTAATGGTGTCCTGTGACACAGATTCTTGTTTTTATTTCATTTTATTATTTTTTATAAAGAATCTATAGATTTGAAGTTCTCTCCATGTGAAACTGACCCAAGATGGTGCAAGTGATCTTTAGCAGGTTTTTTTTTTGTTCATTACAGTAAACTTCCTGAATTCATACATCGTAAATTTTCCGAACTTTAGCCTCTAAACGTTTTTGGTGAATATTTATTCAGGAAAATCGATCTGAATGTAGTGAAGTCGATATTGTGACATTTATAGAGGGTTTCGTGTACATGTACAATCGAGGACATCTGATGAAAATGCAGTATAAGATGCATTCCCAAGAGCAGACGATTAACGTTTCCTATTTTGAGTTAGTATTGTCAAAGTTCTGTTGTGTTGTAGATTTTCAGTTGATGCTTCTCCGTCCGTCATAGGCCTTCAAAATACACACATCCAACATTGTAAAATTGCTTGTTCTATTGTTTTTATATTATTCTTGGGTACTGCTAGCTTTAAATATAAACACATACAATATTGTCCCATTGCTTGTTCTATTGTTTTTATATTATATTTAGGTACTGGTTTCAAACATGTTCTTGTTTTGAATGTCAACATTAACAGCATAGTCCAATTATTGGTTCTACATTGCGATGGAATGTATTATTCACCCTTTATTAATTGTTTATACACTGTACATGTGTCTCCATTTCTTTTTGTTTACACATTTCTCATTCAAATCCAAGCCGAACTAAACTAAATATTAGCAAAACTCGGCATACACTAACGTAATTGTTAATCGTAAAAGTTACTGTTGAAACTACGCATACTTGATTTTCTTCTTTTTTCTATCCCGTAGGGCCTTAATGTCACGTGACCATTACTGTAGTCGACTGAAAAGTAGCGTGTACTGGAATACTTAGGGTGTGAAGATGTTCTGTCCAAAAAGTGTTTACTGTGACATTTAAGCATGGCTTTTATTCTAAGTCTTATCTTTTTACTAAACAAGCAATAAATAACTGGGTTTATTCCGCTATTCGAAACGACCATCCACTGAGCAACCGGTGAAATGTATTTGATAACAAACATAAGCGAGTCGTAATCCCTAAACTGATCCATTTCAAAGTATACCCAGAATTGTATTATATAGTTTGGCAACCATGATATGAAAAAGATGATTACAACTACGGCCAACATTTTTACAACTTTGACTTTCGATTTGTGAATAACACCATTTGCTTTAAATATTCCTGGTGCATTTCTGTTCCACACACGAAATCCTATGAAGGAATAACAGAATATTATAAGGATAAGCGGAATAGCATAAAAGAACACAAATATTCCAATAAAGTATACTTTTCTAACTGTTTCACTCGGATAAGTTTCAATACAAACTTTCAGTAAGCCACCCTGTAAAATTAATTCCCGGTATAAAACCATTGGTATACTAACACCAAGAGAGAACACCCAAACAAAACACATTATACACTTAGATGTCGTCCATGTCATCTTGTAGTTAAATGTGTAGCAAATAGCCAGGTATCTGAAATACAACAAAGAGAAAATATCAATTATGATTTATTCAAAAGAATTTTAGCAAACTCTTAATCTTGCATACAAATTTCGTCGCACTATTTTGATGTTTAAAAGCTATGCTCGTTTTTAAAAGATATGTTCATTAGGTTAAGGTCAAATTACAGTAAATGGGCTATGTCACAGATTTTTCAAAGATTTTGCCTACAACTTTGGCTCGTTAAACTATAACTGAAAATCGAAAAAATAATTTTAAAATGCATTTATCTCGTTTGTTATCTGAATATTACTGATTGAATTCTTTCAAAATAAGCGAACATTTGTATAGAAAGCACATAAAATCGGCAAAAAAACTACTTAAATTTGTGGTGTTCTATGTGAAAAAAATACCTCAAAACGTCAAAATAATCGTAACGTCATCGCGTTGCAGGCCATAAAACTTCAATGTTTTTACGTTTTTCGCTACCCACTAGGTAACAGATTGGTTATTAGACAAAAAACGAAGTCGGTGACCATATGATTATTTTATATCATTAAAACGGAAATTTATGTATCAACAACATACAGTTTTTTTTTTAGAAAAATCTTATGTATAAGAAATTCTTATGTAAAAGAAATTGAAAATTTGATGATTTAAGATAAATTTAAGAATAATTTTCCCCGGTTTTATGTGCTTTCTATACAAATATACACATATTTTGAAAGAATTCAATCAGTCATATAATATAAATGCATTATTTTCAGTTATAGTTCAACGAGCCAAAGCTGCATGCAAAATTTTAGCAAAATCTGTGACATAGCCCATAAACTGTTCCTTGACCTTAAATAACCTTTATTCTCTTTTTTTTCTGTATGACATGCATATTTATGTTGGTGTGATAGATAAAGAAATTGGAGCTTTGTGTCCTCTTTTTTTTAAAGTATTTAATCCATCCTATACGTATTTTCTTTCGAGATAAGACCTTTCACAATAAATTCCAAGATTCGTGTAAAAAATACATTATGTTTCCGCACAAATGTCATGACCGAGGATATTATAATCGGTACATAAATGACTAGTTAATCACGGTGATATATTCCTGCTGTACAGACATAGCAACTAATAAACAAAAGAGCTGAGGTGCTGCTGCTATCTTTTAATAAATCATTAACGTCTGTTCTGACAACAAAATATACTGTGATTAACTCAATTCTAGATGTGGCGTTAGCAAATTGTTGATATTTCAACGCTTCGAAAGCTTAATTTGATTACATCATATCTCAAAACTCTTCTAATAGTTTATGTTCGTTCAATGTCTTTACATCACATGTATTAATGTTGCTTACAACCGGTAAGTAGGGCCATGCCGGTGTTCTTTGTTGATGTCTTTGCTAGACTGGAAACCCTATTTATTAGAAACAACACTGATTGAAACAGAACGTACTCGCACAAAAATATACTGCTCTTATAATTTATTTCATGTTTCATTTTTTTTGATAAAGTCAATATTACAAACAAGAGAGTTTTACTTTTTTGCTATCGAATTAAATTGATTCAGTAAGTCTGGTCAAGACTATTTTAATAAGTCTAATTAAAAAAAATAATTTTCAAATATCCCTGATCATTATCGTTTAAAAATTGGTCTACAGTAAATATAGTACTATTCAGACACTTCGATTCAGGTCACGTGAAATTTGTTCAGTGTATTTCGAGTGTTAAGTGACTTAAAATTAACTGTGTTAAACAATTAACACTAACAAGTTATTGAAAATATCTTGATTTCCTACAAGACGTGTGAACTTAATGAAGTTAACAGAATGAAAACAAATGAAAAATTAATCTTAAAAAAAAACGTGTTTCGGTCATTTAAAATCTGTTCAGATCAGAATTTCTTTTTCAGTCTACAATTCCGGGTGATATTTTAAATACGACGGGTGTCTCGTATAGAGGCATGTTGACTCATATGGAGTAACATGTATCACTCCGTTATATTGGAGTTCAAATCTCATTCAAATGTGATTTTATAATAAAATATATGCGTTTAGTGTGACGTCCATTTTCGCTGAACTAGTATACATTATTATTTAGGGGCCAGCTGAAGCCCGCCTGCGGTTGCGGGATTTTCTCGCTGTGTTGAAGACCCATTGGTGGCCTTGGGCTGTTTTCTGCTCTTTTATCTGGTTGTTGTCTCTTTGACACATTCCTCGTTTCCATTCTCAATTTTATTGTTCTGTTTTGGGAGGTTTGTCGCAATTTTGGTTTGTTCTATGGATTTTTTAAACAACAGTAACGAGCCAGAATTGTTTCAGGGGCATGTGTCATCTTCATTGGTTCTGCAGAGCTTTTTTTGCTTCAAAGAATTTAGTTACGATTAAGGATGTCAATTATAACTTTTAAACATATGCTTCGTAATATGTTGAATACCTACCGATCTACAGCAATGGCAGCCAGTGTATTAACAGAGGCACACACAGATACTGTTTGTAAGTAGGGTGTTATTTTACACATCACAGCTCCATACCGCCATTCTAAAAAATACAAAGCAAAAGATAATTTACGGCATATCATAACCGTGGATTTTTAAAGTAATGTATTCACTTTCATAAGAAGCTTGCATATTCTTTTGCATTTTTTTTCTCAAATAAGGTTTTGTATCTAAAACTATGCTCACTACATTGTCAATGGCACAAGCATGATAGTGTTTACTACTCATTTTAAGAAACTTCTAGTTATGTTGCATTAGTGTGCCTACGGACACTTATTTGCAATTAAGAAAAAAATAATAGTTATAGTATGTATCCATTTGAACCAAAGGCTGAACACAGTACCCCATATACAGTGAAATTGCAATGTGAACATTTTGTTCTAATTTAGGGTACGTGTAATCTAGAAATTATACATTGAAGAATATGTATATGCATTCACTATCATACATTGCTAGACAATAACTTTGTATATTACATGTACATTTAACATGAATGAAAGGTCGTACTAACGAGCTTGATAAGACCACGCGACAATAATTTTCTAAACCCCAGGTCGTGTCTTGCTGTCGAACGAACGGGGTAAGTCCAGGCGGCTATATTTGTATACCGAGGTCAGGTCTTAATATAAATTAAGACAAGACAATTGAAAGGTTGTTTGGATTGAAAATTTTAAAAAAATCAGCCAAGTTGCAATGTGTGTTAAGTGGAGTTCCAGTAGATTTATGTTTCTTGAGATTAACATCTCTATGGGTCTTACTGAAAGTGAAAACTACGAACCTAAGTTTAAAGCGATTGAAAATATTCAAATAATAAAAACTAGGGCAAACAAAATTTTACCAACAACTGGAAAAGATCACAAGAATTATCACATTGATAATATCAAAATTAAGTCATTTTTGCCCTGCATGAATAATTGTACATCATTTCAAGACTTGACTGAAAAATTCTCCGTTATTTGGGATAATAAGCCATATGGAGTGAACAGATATTTTATCACAAACAGTACAATAGGTCTGAAAATTAATTATGAAAACTACATGGATTGGCTTAAGATTAAAATCCTAATTGTTAGACTCAAATTTTTTTTCGAGATAACTTTTTGGTGCTAAGAATGATGTTCAATTGAAAAAAATATTAATAAGCAGCTTTCAAGTTCACGCATTTAATATATGGAAGAATAATGAAATAACCATTGGAAATCAGTTATATATATAAAAAAAAATTAAAATGGAGGCCGGCTGGTTGCAAATGAAGGTTTCATATAAGCAATAAAAACTTACAGTATTTGTTTCAATAATTATAAGAAAGTACGTGGTCCAGTTATGCCTTCAATTAAAAATATTCTATAAATCCCCCAAAGGCTAACAACTGAAACTCCTAGAATCATTTACAATCATAACTACATTACGTGTATTTTTATGTGATATAAAAATTAGTATATTAGCTAGCTGTATTAATAGCCCTGCTTCAATGTTTGATTCTTTTCAACTTTTTTTTAAAAAGAGTTTAGTAACTGAAATCTTTCAGTTCCATTTAACCAAAATTTAACTTTATATATATAACTGCTGTATTTCGTTAACCTTTCTATACTCTACGTCATATATACTATAAATATATGTATTTTAATATGCATTATATGTATGATCATTTCTTTCGGTACTACTTAAAATGAATTCAGTCAAAAAAGTGTTTCTTTTACCAGGTCAATCTTTGGGGTTGAACCTTTAAAGTACAATGTAATCAAACATAATATGTTTAGACTCGATTGTCTAACGCAACATAACGTTAAGAACCTAACCTTTATTTTTAGTTCAATATGCTTAATACGCTATGGACATTTTTTTTATTGTCGATAATTGCATTTACAACAACAAAGAAATGCGTTTAGATCGGATTGATAGGTTGCAACTAGAGAATGCACACATGATGCATTGAGACGCTAGTGCCAGTTTTTTCAGATATATTTCAAAGCCTATCGAAATACAGTTAACTTAAATAACGAGTCTTATGTCAATTAATATCGAACGAAAGCATTTTGCCCTCGTTGATTTGAATATCGTTGTGCGCACTGGAATATGTATCATACGATTAATTAAGAGTTTAACTGAGCCGGTAAGGCTTATGTAGACCTCGGAAGATGACAATCGCCCATTAGGCAGTGTGTCTATGCAAGAAGGATTTCAAGTATAAACCCTGTAATTGCACTTAACTTAAGGGTGCTATTTACTAAGGCGACATTGACCTTCGACTGTTTTGATTGGTTTGTTTACGCCGCTCAAATGTATGTCCTCTATATAAAAATAACGGGTTGTGGTATTATTGTGTAGCTTGTTCATATTTGTGTATGTATTCTACATACTGAAATAATAGATTTATTTATATTTTATAATATGAACACTTACTGCTCGTTCAGTTGCCAGTGCTTCTGTTCTAGAATGATTTAATGATATGTTTTATATGGTTTATTAATATGACAACATTAAGTATGGTATTTGCTTTTTAGAAATAAAATAAATATAAAAGTAATGTCAAATATCAAAAATTAGGGCGATTATGTGATTAAAACCAAACTTAGAGCAATTAACGACTGTATTATTTGTGTCAATACATTTGTTATTATTTTAATCAGTTCTGTAAATGACGTAAACAGAAATAAACTTAATTTGTTCAAAGCAGTAGCATACTATTTTAGAAAACCTTGTTGAAATAATTATTTACATAATTCCTCAAACATTAAGATTGCCAGAAACTAATTCAGACATTTATATAAATCACTGAATGGTAACGAACATTTCCTCTGCCGATAGAATTACATTTAATTGTAGTTTATGATGTTGATTTGTATCTCTGGTAAGAAATTATAGCAAGATATTACCGACATTTCCGGGACTGAATTGCCTCGATATTATTATCAAACATATCCCGGTAATTATGTAGACAAAACAAAGTCGATCGAACATCGAATAAATCCAACAGGTGAAAGCAGATATTTGATTTGTAATTTGAATAATTACAGACCAAGATTCTCTTCTTATCCCATCGAATCCAATTAAAACGACCATATGAAAAGTTTGTTACGCAATAAAAGTATTTCTGATTTGATGCATATATTTCAGGAATATGTTAATAATGAAAATAAACTACTGAAACACATAAAATGACATTTATGTACATAACGCTATCTCGATATTTATCAGAGAGATTTTCACATATCCTTTATTAAAACTAGCAGGATTTTTTTTCCAGACCAACAATGAACTCCTTGTAGAATGAGAGTGAGATTTTCGCGTGGTTTATACATACCCTAGAATAGGGAGGTAGTGAAAAAAATGAACGTATAACGAATTCCTTTGAGACTTCTGTACATGACTTAATTTCTCATTTGCAACAAATCAGTTATGACTGCTTTATATCTTGATTTGCATCCATAAATTGACCATGAGGGTCGGATGAAATAGTGTAATTTTCAGTTTCTACTACTAGGTCGATACCACTGTTCGTGGACTTGTAGTCCTCGAGGTAGTCCGTGCTTGGATACTCTCGTGATGAATTAAGGCGACAGTAGTTTACCTAAGGAGCCACACTGTGTGTGTCGACAGGGTAAGCGTCTTCTGTTATGTATGCATCACCCGCCATGTATAATATACCTTAATAAATTTTTTCGTTGATTTATTTAGAAATTATTATGAATTATTACTTAACTAAGATTACAACTTCTTTTGGTAAAGTTGACCTTATGGAATTTTGGCTATTTTATGTCAATTTTGGTCATAAAACTCCTCAAGTGTTGAACCCATGACCTACTGCACTAGCAGGCGAGCACGAGAACACCGAGGCTTAATGTAAATTATTGACCTAATGGTTCCTAATGGTAAAGTTGAAATATTGATTTTGTAATTATACTGACGCCATCATGAGTTGGTTGACTGTTATGGAATATCTGTAACAAATTACAAGGTCGTAACCACAATCCCGATTTTGACATTACCAAGCGCGATTTATCACCGACTATTTACTTGCCATGATTAACCCGACGGGTTTATCACAGATGTTTCTTAAGGATATGCATATCATGGACCACTAGTGGTATGCGGTTTTTGGCTGGATTCGTCTTGCTTAGTCTAGTTTTTTTTTTGTGTAAAGTATTGTAGACTTGTTTGTTTTCCTTCGTTTTTGTTTGTGGTCAGGATATCGACATACGTTTTTGAAGACATAACTGGACCACGTACTTTCTCTTAATTATTGAAACAAATACTGTATATTTTTATTGCATATATGAAACCTTCATTTGCAACCAGCCAGCCACCATTTTTTAATTATTTTTTTATATATATATAACTGATTTCCAATGGTTATTTCATTATTCTTCCATATATTAAATGCGTGAACTTGAAAGATGCTTATTAATATTTTTTAATTGAATATCATTCTTAGCACCAAAAATTTATCTCGAAAAAAAATTTGAGTGTAACAATTATGATTTTAATCTTAAGCCTATCCATGTAGTTTTCATAATTAATTTTCAGACCTATTGTACTGATTGTGATAAAATATCTGTTCACTTCATATGGCTTATTATCCCAAATAACGGAGAATTTTGCAGTAAAGTCTTTAAATGATGTACAATTATTTATACAGGGTAAAAATGACTTAATTTTGATATTTTACTTTCATATTATAAAAGTAAGTTCAAGAGAATTAACTTGAGTTTCTCTTCTAATAACGGTTTGGTTTGCGATAACGTCTTTGAAGACGAGCTAATTACATAATAGTATGCATGTTTTACATTTGCTAATTCGTGGTTTCATATATTGATCAGTTGGTTCGTGTTGACATGGTTCACTGGGTGTTCCATAGGCATGTTTTATTACAGAGACAATCAGTTTCTGTTTGTCATATCAATTCGTATATCGGAAAAAGTGAGGAGGTCAACACTTTGATTTTTATAACACCTTGGAGTTATGTATATCCTGTTCTAATGTTGGAAAAACATGCATTTGAAATAAGATGATAACATTTCTATCGATAATCAAAGGCAAGAA